TGCAGAATATATTTCTTGTATTATGCAACTCAGTTCATTATAAAGTCTGAAAAGATTATTCTTGCAGAGATTCATCTCAAGAAAGATACTCTTATCTAGTATAAATCTTCTCTATGCAACTACTTAGAATATCAGAACAATTCCAATATACGTATCCAGAGTATTAAGAATATATTTAATTCCTTTGAAAGCTTTGAAAAAGCTCTTAAAGAAATCTTTAATAATCCTAACAAAGAATATACTACAGCTTAGCAGCTTATAAATCTCAAGTAGATCAAATCAGCTTCTGCTTATACAATTAGATTCAAGCAACTCTTAGTATAATTTCTGTAAGAAGATAAGAATCTTATAAAATACTATTATAAGGGACTTAAGAATAATATTAAAGATGAAATCTTTAAGCAGAATTAGCTGGAGAACTTTGCAATGTTTTTCAATCAAGCTATTCATATTAATAACTATCTGTATGAACAATAAGTAAAGAAGTTCAAGAAGAAAGGAAGTTAAACTTGAAGATTTCCAGCTAATACAAGCAAGAAATTCCAAAATAAGAATAGCAGCTAATATAGCAGCACAGCTCAGAGCAGCATTACACATGCTGATTTCATAAAACTCGATGCTACTAACAGATAGTATAGCAAGAGAAACAGCATTACTTGCTATAATTGCAATAAACAAGAATACATTGTATACAACTGCTATTAACTCTGAAAGAATAAATAGCAACTAGTTCAGAAAGAATATTAGATGAATATTGCTTGATAATAGAAATCTAATCAACTAAGCAAAAACATTTCCTTAGAGCAAGTATCAGATTCTATTGATTATAGAAGTCTTAGCTGAATATTCTGCTATAATAATAACTGCTTAATATATCTCTTGAGTAAGAAAGGTTCAGAATGATTCCCTCAGAAATCTAAGCGCTGCAGATAAATAGCAACAGCAGAACAAGAGTGCATGCCTAGCATTTCCATAAGTAGCAACTTGAACTGCTCTGATATTGTAGAACAGAGCATTCAGATGTTGAAAGAAGAGCTTAGTAACAATATTCTTTAATATTCTTTATCGCTTATGCTAAGCACTATAACTAGAGAAATGAATAAAGAATGATACTCTCTTGATTATTAGTATAAATATCTAAACAATACCGAAAATGCTTTTTAAATAACAGAAAGATCAAGCTAGAATGAATGATCTAACGATTTACTAGAATCTTTCATAAATAATAAATTCAAGAAGCTTACAGAAAAGTTCCTCTTTAGTATTGAGTAGAATAAGGAAATAATATGAATCGAATATCTCGTTTATAGAATAAAGCTGAAAGAGCTCTTTATCTACATTTCCTTGCAAAACATTAAGATATAAGAAGATAAAAATCCTTAGATTAGCTTACTTTACAACCTATATTATAAACTAGCTTAGATTTTCTGCATCTATTATAGCTGCAGAATGCATTTCTCAGAGAAAATGCAATACGAATAATTCTTTATTAGAGAATCAGAACAAATTCTTTAGGCTGTTGAAGAACAGAAATTCCGCTTTAGAGAGATTCTTAATAAGCAATATTATAATACATATATCAGACTACTAAATGATTGCTTCATGCAATATATAGATAAAAAGATAGAATAGTAGTAATGCAAAACAATACTCTGCATAATTCATATTAGTAATAAGATTTGCAATTAATATTAACAGAAGAAGAACTAGGAATAATGCTAATATGAGCAAAAGCAAGCTAAGAAGCTTGCTTAAAAAGTAGCAAAACGAGCTCAGAAGAACAAATAGTTCTCAATAAACCTAAAAGAACAGAATTGCTTGTAAAGAAATTGCAGATGATTAGACTGAAACAGTTTCTATATAAAGCTTTCAGAACAGATTATACTTATATCAAGTTCAATATATACATTCAAGAATACAAATACTATACACTATTGAATAGTAGCACTTAGAGAAACTTCATATCTCTATACATTATCAATCAGGCACAATTATAATAGAAATGAAAGAGATGCTTATACACTCTCAGCACTATAAAAGAATAATCTATTACATACAACTAAGGAGTAATCAATAAGAAGACTGATTATCTATTTATTTTAATCCAAGAATGTATAATCAGAGCTTTCTTTAATATTACAGATATAGCATAGCATAAGCTGATTATAGAGCTTCTATAGCTTAAGAAGCACAATCCTTGAATCAATTAGATTACTAGCTAGATCTCATAAGAACAAGCTATACCTAGAGAAATAGTTATAATCAATAGCGCAGAATCGAAGCTAGTAATTAAAGAATATTCAGAAAAAGAAGCTTTATACAACTTCATATATACCTCCAAGTCAGCAGAGCTAGCAGTTCAAGAAGAAGAACCTAGTAACAAGCAAACCCAAATAATGCTAAAGCGCTAACAGATTAGCAAAACAATAGAAGCGGGATCCTCAGCAAGTTAGTTCGCTTCGGAGCAGCAAGGAAAAGCTTCAGAATATGAATTATAAACCTATACGAGAAAAACCTCGAAACCAAGCTCTCAAGCGCTCAATCCAGCCCGAAGCGAACGCTTAAGGCTCTTGAAAACGCCATCAGAAAAGAAGCATGCTCAACAGTACTTACTATTCCTCCAGATAGCAGAAACAGTACAAGAACCAGAATCAATACTTGCGAATATACTACGAGAATACTATAAGTTTAAGAAACTATTCCAGGAAGAATTGGATACAGAATTGCTAGAATACAGCTTATATAACTACAAAATCCTGCTACAGAAAGGAAAACAGCCCAAATTCTTCCCTATCTACAAACTAGATAAAGCATAGCTAGAAGCATTTAGAGAGTATCTCGATAAGAATCTTAAAAAAGAATATATACAATCATTGCAATTATTAGCAGAATATCTTATTCTGTTTATACCTAAAAAGAATAGCAAGCTCAGGCTATATATTAATTATAAACAACTCAATAATATCATAATTAAGAACTAATACTCATTATTACTTATTAAGAAACTATAAGATAAGCTATAAGAAGCATAGTAGTTTATAATTCTAAATCTAAAAGAAGCTTACAATCTAATCAGAGTTAAGAAAGAAAAAGAATGAAAAACTGCTTTCAGAATATACTATAAATACTATAAATATTTGATTATGCTTTTTGATTTAACAAATACTTCAGCTTTATTCTAGAAAATAATTAATTATATTCTATACAAGCATCTGAATTAGTTCATTATTGCTTATCTTAATAACATTCTTATTTATTCTCAAATATTGAAAGAATACAAGGAATATATGAAAATAGTATTGTAAATGCTCCAAGATGCAAAACTCCTTGTAAAACCTACAAAAAGTTACTTTTATATATAAAAAGTTAACTATCTCGAATTCACAATCAAGCCAGAATGCATTAAGCTATAGAAAGATAAGATAGAAGCTATCAGAAATTAGCTAATTCCTAGGAATATCAGAGATATTAGATCTTTCCTTGAATACATCAACTTCTACAAGCAGTTCATTAAGAACTACAGCTGGATTGCACACTTTCTTACAAATCTTATTAAAAAAGAACAGCCTTTCAAATGAATCTCTAAGATATAAGAAGCTTTCAATAAGATTATCAAATATATTACCTTAGAATTAATTCTGTATAAAGCAGATCTCTATAAACCCTTTAAAATTAAGACTGATGCATTAGAATATGCACTCGGAAAACAACTTGATTAATAAGATAATCAAGAGCATCTAAGAATTATAAGCAACTTCTCAAAAAAGTTGAATAATCCGGAAATTAACTACAGAATCTCTAATTAGAAACTTATAGCAATAGTAAAAGCTTTCGAGAAGTAGCAATATTATCTTATTAATGCATAATACTTAATTATAGTTTATTCGGATTACAAGAATCTAACTACATTTATAATAACTAAGATTTTGAATAAGCAACAAGTTAGATAAGCAGAATTTCTTTTATAATTCGATTTCAAAATTGTATACTGCAAAAGCTTGGAAAACAGATAAGCAGATGCTCTTAGCAGAAGATCAAACTATCGAAATGCAGACTCTTCGAATATATAGAACATCTTTGCTCAAGATGAATCAGAAAATCTCATTAATATATATAGAAAACTGAATGCTGCTCTCAGAATCGAATTCTTAGAAAGAGATTCAGAATCAATAATTCCAGATGAATAAAACAATTATATTAGAAATATATATAGTATATCAGTATACGGATATCAGAGAGTTAGAGCAATTTATAAATGCATTAAAAAATACTAAAACTTATCAGATCTTAGAAAAAGAATTAAGAATATCCTATAATAATACAATAGCTGCAAAAAGAATAAAGCAGAAAGATATAAGCCTTATGAATTATTATATCTTTTATCAGTACTTATAATTATTTAGCAATCTATCAGTCTAAACTTTATTATTAAGCTATTTTTTTTATAAGAATTCTTAATTAAAGTATAATATGATAGCATTCTAGTAGTAGTTTGCAAACTGAGTAAGTATGCTTATTTTCTTCTCTATAAGGAAAGCAGTATAGCAGAGGAACTTGCATATGCATTCCTCAGAACAATCATCGCTAACTACAGCATATCAGAAGAAATAATCTCCAATAGAAACAGAAAGTTCAATTCAAAGTTTTAAACTTTGCTTATAAAACAGCTTGAAACATATTATAGAATATCTATAGCATTTCACTCGCAAATAGATGAATAGATAGAAAGAATAAATCAGATTATCAAATAGTATCTTTAATACTATATCAGCTAAGAATAGAATAACTGGATTAATTTATTGCTTCTTATACAGTTCGCTTATAATAGCGCAGATACAAGTATAACAAAGAAGTTATTATTCTTTGCACTCTATAGATATAATCCAACAGCTTACTATAAAGCATTACTGAAAATAGATACAGAAGCTGCAGATAAAAGGATTAAGAAGATTAAGAAAGTTTAGAAGGAATTCTGATCAGAACTACAATTTGTTTAGGAACGAATGATACAATATGCAAACTCTAAGAGGATTGAGAGACTAATTCTACAGAAAGGAGATAAAGTCTATCTACTTCGAAAAAACATCAAAATAACAAGATTTAGCAATAAACTCAATTATAAGAAGTTAGAACTATTCAAAATCTTATAATAAATCTTCCTAGTTAACTACAAGTTAGTATTATCTCATAGGATGAGGATATACTCAGTTTTCCACATCTTACTACTGGAACCAGCAGCACAGAAAATACTAACAGACAACACAGCAGAAATGGAAAACAATGAATCAGAGTATAAAGTAGAAAAAATTCTTAAATACAGAGGCACAGACAAAACAAGGAAATATCTCATCAAATGAAAAGGCTACTCAGCAAGCGAAAACTCATGGGAACCATGGAAGAACATTGAGAACGCTTAAGAAAGAGTAGCTGAATATTGGAAAAGAAAGGAAACCAGTACCTAAGATAATCGCTCCGCCCCGAACCGAAGCCCAGAAGCTCCAGAAACCTCACTCCTCAAATCTTCCAACTCAGAACGAACCTCTCAAGCACCAGAAGAACTTCCATCACCCTCAATACCACCTACATCACCTAAAAAGGAATAGTCCAACATACTACCAGGAGACCAGGAGAGTTCTCCCGAGACCAAAGCTGAAAATCTCTCAGGAAGGGAATCAGCAGGAACACAAGCCTACTGCTCCTTTGCCAGCTCCTCCGCCTCCACACGATCAAGCTCCTCAATCATATCCAAACCACAGCGCACCGCACACGCCATTTTCTCAGCCCACAGCTTGCGCTGCTTCCGCAGCCAACGCACCTTGGCCATAGCACGCTCCAGCTCCTCCTCCACATCATCGAGAGCAGCCTCAGCAGCGGAATACTGAGCTACAATCTTTTCCACCTGCAACAGCAACAAACCATGCATATCACAATTCCCACGCTTATATTTGATACACTCTGTACAGCATAACGAATTCTCCTCGGAAGCAAGGCAGCAAGCTTTGCAACCCTTGCAGAAAGAATACATCAGCATCTCAATGCAACGGGAAAGAGCAATAAGCTAGAGAAAGGTAGACTGTTCTATCTTTTTGTAACAAGATTTGTTGATTCTATTCAGCATCTCAATTAGAAAAGCAAGATTATAAACACGGAAACTTGCTAGAATACTTATAAAAGATTGTTGGAAATAACAATTAATAGAAGGAAGATGATGTTATAACCCATCCAATATGCAGATCACAAAACAGATTACAAGTAACAAGAACCAGGTATTATAATTCAACAACGAACAACTAGCAAGGATTACATAACTCAGGAATAGAGTTATAGGTTGTAGCTAATCAGGAAGAAACCGGAGCAGTTGATGATCAGTTCTCACGATCCAAGCAGTAGACTGCAACAACCAACCTCCAACTCTTGCAGTTCATACTGAAGAGCTGAGTATATAAGAACACATTCATTACCATCAGATAGACTCAGTATATAGCTCTTCAGTTATCAATCTAAGTATTCAGTTTCATATACTGAGTAGCCCCAAAGGCAGTGAACACTTGCATCGCTTATTAGGACTTGTACGGTTCCGTATTCAAGAACTTAATACTTTGATACCGCTCTTGTTAGTATAAACCCCTTCGTGTACTTAGGAATCTTCGGATTGCTGCAGTGCTCATTACAATCAGCAAGAAGAATACTACTCCTTCTGCTTCCAAGAAGAAAGTATCTGAGTCTGGGCAGGCAGCTTCATAACCTGTATCTTGCAGCAAGAATAAAGGCAAGAGCAAGACTGTAGTAGGATCTCGTATCGAGAAATGAGCTAAATCTGTTCAGTCTCAAGATTCTTTCTCTGTTTTTGATAATGATTCTTCAGCGAATAATATGAATAATATGAATCTGAATAGGACAAGAAGAAAGCTATCAGATGATATTTACAAATATTCTGATAATGAGAATAATGTATAAAAGTAAGAGATCTTCATAGATTGCAGTATTTCTTCAATGCTCTGCATTTTTTATGCATTGCATTCCAATATATTGCAATTTTTGAATAATGAAAATAGCTTCAGAGCTGGTTAACATGCTTTGTACTGGATACTTTGAAATTTTTAGGTAGGTTTACAGTATTCTGTAGCAAGTGATAGCAGATAATACTTTATCTCTTCTCTTTTAGCAAAATATATGAGATGAAATAGAAAAGATAAAAAGAAAATGTATTTTGCAAATAAAAAGGAAATATGAATAGAAAGAAATCAATCTTCTTTACAAGCTAGAAATGCTGATTTAGTTAAGATTGATATAAATATCTCATTTCTATCTGCTTTCTCCTATTCTTATCTCTTCTTTTTTGCTGCTTATATAAAATATTCATCATTACTAACTTCATTTCCATTCTCAGTATTATTATCCGCTTTAGTTGCTAGATTGATAATCTCTGAATCAGAACTGGTCTAGCTAAGCATAGAGTTATACTTAATGATATCTGGAATTCAGAATGTAGCATCATTGCTTGAATCTGCTTTCTAAACTTCGAGAATATTATTATCTGATTCTTCTTACTAGAGAGCTCTTATCAAATCCAGCTTTTCTGCTAATGATTAGCCAGATTGAAGCTCAATATCTTCTTTCCAGAGCATAAGCATCTCGAATTTCCAAATGCTATTCATATTCTATACAAACTTTTTGAGATTAGTAGCTGAATATATGCTTTTTAGCAAAACTCCATCTGTAGTCTTGAGCTTATAAGTATATTTATCTAGAATCTAAGCAATTAGATATAAACTCTTCCATTTATAAGAAATCTTAGTATTATGCAAATAGCTTATTTTCCGAATATAATTATAGATAAGCATAAGATCTCTAATATTTAGTTAAGATTTTCGTATTAGATTCTGCATTTAACTTTTAGCTGCAATCTTTTAATAGTATGCCTAAACAGCTTTAATTGCCTTCTGCATATTATCTTTCTTAGCTATAATTATTCTTAACTATATTTCAAATACTTTCTAAAGAAATTAGTCTTTGATTTATATAAGAACTCTTTACATTAGAATTTCAGTTTCAATTGGAATAAGCAGCTTTTAATCGAAAATCAAATAGAAGAAGCTATATTTATATAATTAGCAAATTATAATTCTTTTAGCAAAGAGTATAAGTTTCAAGTATTGCTTTCATCTTTAGAATTAAGCATTAGCTAGCTTAGCAAGAGTACTTGCTAAGGAAAGATAATCAGCTTTTACTTATTCTTAAGTATGAAGATTGTAACTAGAGATCTGAACAAGCAGAATCCCAAGAGCTCTAATAGTCTTAGCTATCTTAGTCTTGTTTTCTAATTCTCTATTAACAGTAATTTTGAAAGAGCATCTGAATATAAGAATAATCTCTTTCAAAATAAACTTTCTCATTTCTACAGCTATAGCTTTCTTAAGAAATCTTGCAAGTATATAGCTAATCAGATTACAGCAAGCTTTTGCAAGATATCTATAACTGCTATTCTCAGCTATGTATTGAATATTGATGCTGATTCTTGTAAAGAGTTGATTTGGAAGGATTGGGATTACTTCTTTCTTCTATATTTTTGAATCGAACTTTATATATTTCTTGCAATTCAAGATAGTATTAGCTATATCTATTTAGAGATTTCTTTAATAGTAGAGTTGCTTAATATAAGCTATTATAGAATCTTAATCTTGATATTCAAACTTAGTATAATATTCTCTAATAATTTAGCAATAAAGATCAGAATTATTTACTATTTATTAGCATAGGAGTTTCGTATTAGTATAGTGCTACAGAGCTTAATCAAGTACTTAATGCTTTAATGCTTCTACTATAAAGTTCTTATAATCTCTTTTGAAGAGTTTTAATAGAATAATTCTATAGCATAAGAACTTTATATATTATTTCAACTATTTCATTTATTAAAAAGTTAGATTTAATAGTAATACTAGATTAGCTTTATCTAAATTTATGCTATTAAGCTAAGCATTATACTAGTTTTCAATATTGCTATCTTTATTTTTCTTAAATAGTATTAAGTATGAAGATTGAGAAAGAGTATTAGCTATAGAATTCTTTGATCTAGAAATATATTTAATAATAAAATTAAATATCTTGATTACTGCTATTCATCTGTTTAGGAGAGCACTAAGTATATCGTTTATTTCTCTATTGAATTGATTTACTAGAATATAAGCATTAATTTCTAAAATGAAATAGCAATTATAAAAATGCTGCTAAAGAGACTGTAGAATATAGAGAATAGTGCAATACTTCCTCTTAGTAGCATTATATTTCTATGCTGCAATTATTCAGATTCTGCTAATGAAATATGCTAGCTTTCGTTTATTCTTTACTATCTACATTAGTATAGCGCCTCAGCTTAATAGGCTTGCATTTACTATAAGAATAATCTTCTTAGTATTAGTGCTATAATTAATTAAAATAATGATTGGATAAGATGTAAGTATCTGAATAAGTATAGCAACAGCTTCTTTCTATTCCTTCTTCCATTTCTATACAGTATCTTTCTTAAGAAGATTGTAGAGTAGTTGAGCAATGATTGCAAAGTTTCAAATCTAAGCTGCATAATAAACAATTAGTTCAATGAAAAAGCAGATATTCTTAATATTCTTGCATTCTGTTCAAGCTAGAAGCTTTTCTATCTTCCTGTTCTGAGGTTGTTGTTCGCTGAAACTGATGATATAATTAATTATATCAATTTTTATTTAGCATTATTCTAACTTAAATGCTGAGATTATAGCTTTAGCTAGCTCTGCATTTATAAGAATCTTGTTAAGATTTCTGATATACTTAGCAATGTATCTATGTACTCCGGAAAGGCTTAGAATCTCTTTATTCTCATAGATTGTTGTAGAACTACAAACAGAAATATTGTTAAGAAAAGGCTAGCATATATAAGAAATAAGATTATATAGAAGTCTAATTATTATTCTTATAAACTGAGCAACAGAATTAGTAGTATTCTGAGATAGAGTATATATTCTGAATAAGCTTAAGAGTATTGAGAAGATTATTATATCTCTGCTATTAGAATGCAATTGCATTTAGTTATATCTGGAAAAGAAGTTAAGCAGTAAAAGAATCTTGTATATAGCAAACTTTTTCAAGAATTCATCTAAGGCAGATAGCATAAAGGCATTCTTGAAGCTATGCTTATTATACTTTTGAGTATTATTGATTAGATATAAGCTATTATTCTTTTTGATAATCAGAAATTAGTTATTTCTATATAATATATAGCTTTTCTTAATAATCTTCTGCTTAATATATTGTTTCAGAAGCTCTATTAATTTTAGCTTAAGAGCATTAAGGATTGGAATATACTTCGCTTGAAAGATCTTGTAGAATACAGTTCTGATTTCTTACAAGAAAGCTATTTTCTCAATGATCTTTCCAATCTTAGTAAAGTTCTATATAAGAGCTTTAATTCTGTTTCTCAATATGTATTTGAATATTTCCTTCTTAGCTTTAGAAAACTCTTTATAGTTTTTCTCTTGTATAGCAGCTTACTAGTTAGGTTTTAAGTGCTAATTAGAATTCAGATTGCTGAACTTGGATTCAATTTACTTATTATACTTGATAAGCTTTGTAGATTGCTAAGCTCGTTTCATCTTCTCAATCTTAGCAAGCTTCTATCCGATTATCCCTTCTGATACTAAACTATCAAGCTGAGAATTATTAATTAGCTTGATCTTCTTATTTTTAAGCTTATAAAGAGTATTGATTAAGCTTAAAATATCTTTTCTTTCCTTCCTTATACAATATAGCTAGCATGAATAGCGCTAGCTGCTATGTATTTTATACAAGCAAGATTCTCGAATTGCTCCTTTCTTATTTACTATAAAGCAACTCTTCTTCAACTTCCTTCCCATCAGTTCTACTATTAACTTGTTCATAACAGCTGCAATATCTTATTTAGATATAAACATTACAGCTGTATCTCTCTTCTCTAACAATATCCACTCTGGAATAACTTCTCTGCTAACAGCTCTGCATTCCTCAGAATAGCTG